TTCTGATCGTATTCTCTCTACTGAGAAGCTATGCCGGTACTAGCAGGGCGAGGCTAATGTGCAAAGAGTATGTGTCTTTGCACCAGAAGGAGAAGTCATTCGGACAGAGGATGAGATGAGCATCAGAATGGCCTTGGTCAAGACTATCCAAGGGACGGAGTGACCCCAGTGGATGTTCAGACTGTCAGTGTCAGTGGGTTGGATTCAGGCGCTGGGAGGGAAGTGGCAGTCGCTTGATTTCAAGAGTTTGAATGAGTTAGAGTGAGACTGAGCGCACTGAGTCCACTTTCACCTGCAGGCGAGCCATCGTGTTGCTAAGCTTAGTGTTTTCTCACAATGCGCTCATTTTCCGCCGCCTATGCGGAAAGACGCATGGGGGATACTGTACCGGTAGCCGGCGGCGGATGGCGCGAATGGCGCGTAGTCCCTCAGAGTGACGTTGTTGCCAATCCTTCCAAGCCGATAACCAACTGTTTTATTTTTGGATTATGTGGTTTAAACTACGCTCCATCACATGCAAATGAAAAAAGCTCACAATCGCGTAGGAAAATGATTCAGCATGTATCACAAATATGCATAATGCCACAAGCAATATACCTGACGCAGTGACGATTTCAGCCATGACACACACGCAATCTGGAACGTTTTTGGATCATTTTGGCGCGTTGGTTTGTACGCTTGTCTTTCAAGGTAGTGAAAAAATTGCCGCGGAACGTAGCCTTCAACCGAACACAACACGAAAGTGCCGGCGGCTGTAACTTAGAAACCGCTCAACTGGGAGACATCGAAATGTCACAGGCGATATCAAAGCCGCTTCTGTTCTGATGCTTCACAGCCAACCTGTATCTCATTCTTATCAAAATCCGAGAGATGGGGGTTTAAAACTGACCCTTCGACCTGTCAATTTCCTGTGGAATGCCCCAGGTGTAGCCCTGCGGTTTACTATTCCGCACGGGTACTTCCCGACAGTGGATGGGCCGAGCGTTGAGTGATGGCGGCCATATTCGATGCAATAAACGTGCGCAGACTGGAGATCGGAAGTAGGGCCGAGCCGCCATATCGACATCTTATTTGTGTTGTTGGAAAATAAATTATATATATATATATATATATACATATATATATATGTATTGGTGGAATATGAACTATGAATCTGCAATGTTCGAAAATAAATGACAATTATTTTACGTTGCAAATAAACGACCCTCCTGCTCCACAAAGTACCGGTTAAACGACGCCACGAAACAAGCTTTGGTATGCACCATAAAACTGGACGTTTCGAAACGATGCTCATGGTCAAGAAACCCATCGCTTGCTTGATAACATCACGTATACCAATGCTTGTTTGACGACGATGTCCAACCAGCGACTGTTGGTATACTGTAGATGGGTCACTAAAAACATGACAACCTACAATGCCGATAAATTGGGACTGCAGGCATTCCTTGCTTATCTCAAAGCATATCTTCTTGTATATTCTGGCCATCACTCTAACAGTCTCTTCGCAACTGGCACCTCCGCAATCGATTAGCACGCGGCAGTCGGCATTTTTCGCTGCGCTGATATGGTTCAAACGACACTGAGCCGACCTTGCCGGCCTCCATTGAAGTCTTGGCCGATCGGCCTGCAACCTGCCGATGGATCGGATTGGACCGTCCTCGCCTGGTCGGCCTGCCATTTATTAGAAGATCTTTTATATGCATTATAATATAAACTGTATAAACGGTCTCGCTCGCAGTTTTTGTTCGAGCCGAACATATATTAACATATACACTTTTCCAGCTATTGGCGACCAGACGAGAGTTTTTCCTCTGTTATATACGATGAGTGGATCTTTCGCATCGTCACCAACCCAACAGAATGCCATGTTATCGTATGCACCATTTTGTTCGTATCATGGGACGTCCCAGATATCAGACCTTACAATAAAGCCTTCGGGTACCGGAAATGGAAGTTAGTACCATTATTGACACCCTAGCGAGGACCATCAACGCACGCTGATCCGAAATCTTACCCCGAAAATTATGTAGTGTTCTGGGGCACTGCCAACACAGGCATATTGGCTCATTAGCGAATGATCACTATCGTCCCCAGCTCCGGCGTTCAAAGCGGGACGGTTGCACGCAAGTTAAGTATCACCTATCCATTCGCAGCGACGGTGACCATTTCTAACGCCCAGACCAAGTCAATGCTCTGGTAAACTGGCACCGACAGACGAGTGAACAGGAAATGTAAACAGAGGCGATGACGGACGTGCTCGCTCACGTCGGCGACACCCCGTTCCCCTTATCCCAGGTGCTCACTGTCTGCAGCAAAAGGACAACGGAGGTTCGGTGGACGGGTGCTGGCGACAGCGGCTTTCAGAGCCCGTCCGTGCCGATGGAATAGTGTGCGACGTCGGCCGACACGCCTCCCGGGACCAGCATGGGACGCAGGCACGTCTCCCGGGACCAGGACAGGACGCGGACACGTCTCCCAGGACCAGGACGGGGCGCGGACACGTCTCCCGAGACCAGGACGGGACGCGTACACGTCTCCCAGGACCAGGACGCGTGCACGCCTCCCGGAACCAGGACGGGACGCGGACACGTCTCCCGAGACCAGGACGGGACGCGGACACATCTCCCGAGACCAGGACGGGACGCGCACACGTCTCCCAGGACCAGGGCGGGACGCGTACACGCGCCGAAGAGCGGGAGGGAAACTGGCGCGGCACGCGGTTCGGCTCGGATCAAACTTGTGGGGCGACACCGCTTACAAGAGAGCAGCGTCCAGGGGACACGCCCCACGCCCTGAAAGCATCGGATCTGGTGTGACGTCACAATCTGGGAGCATCGGGTCTGGCGTGACGTCACAATCTGAGAGCATCGGGTCTGGCAGGACGTCTTTCTCTCTCCGAATGGTTCGGCTCCAGCAGAAACGTCACAACTCTATGACAACTCTATGAGAGTGATGGGCCCGGTGTATACCTCGACGGGGAACCTCGAACTGTCTGTGAGCTCCGGATCGGGTGACAGGTTCCACAAACTGAGCGCCCCGATACTATGGACGTCCCGCGCCCTGTGGGGCATCGAATCAGATGGGACGACCCACAACCTCCACGAGCGTCAAGTTTGGTGACACGATGGCAGTTCTCGGCGGCCGACCGACTATCGGCGACGTTATCGGCGCGGCGCGTGACGCACCGGGGAGCGACGGCGACGATCGACACTGAGAGTGAGAGGGTGAGAGGTAGGCGTCGCCACACATCCTCAGTAGCGGAGTGCGTCGTGCGCCTGTAGGCCAGCACGCAGAACGGCCATGCGTTCTGCAGCCGGCCGTACGGGTACAAAAGACGGGTACAGTCTAGGCACTATTTGGCCAGCACGCAGTGCGGCCTGCGATCTGCAGCCAGGTACAGTCTGAGCTCTGTCTGACCAGCACGCAGTGCGGCCCGCGCTCTGCAGCCGGGTACAGTCTGAGCTCTGTCTGACCAGCACGCAGTGCGGCCTGCGCTCTGCAGCCGGGTACCGTCTGAGCTCTGTCTGACCAGCACGCAGTGCGGCCTGCGCTCTGCAGCCGGGTACAGTCTGAGCTCTGTCTGACCAGCACGCAGTGCGGCCTGCGCTCTGCAGCCGGGTACCGTCTGAGCTCTGTCTGACCAGCACGCAGTGCGGCCTGCGCTCTGCAGCCGGGTACAGTCTGAGCTCTGTCTGACCAGCACGCAATGCGGCCTGCGCTCTGCAGCCGGGTACAGTCTGAGCTCTGTCTGACCAGCACGCAGGACGGGCCGCGCTCTGCAGCCGGGTACAGTCTGAGCTCTGTCTGACCAGCACGCAGTGCGGCCTGCGCTCTGCGGCCAGGTACAGTCTGAGTTATTTGTGGCCAGCACGCAGGATGGCCTGCGCTCTGCAACCGGGTACAATCTGAGCCCTGTCTGCACCTCATCCAGTCAGTCAGCCAAACACGGGTGTACTTGGCCGCATGGGCAACACACTCGTCGGCACTTATCTCCTAATTAGGCCGGACGTCCAGAATGCAAGCTGGTGAACTACTTGACGTGTTGCCTTTCCAACGCTAACTTAATTACCACTTCCGTCAAACCAGAACAGTACAGTCCATGTGCAAATGGACGTGTTGATCATGGGGTATGCAGACATTTTCTCCATTACCAACCGGCCCAAACGCGTTACGAGGACAGGGATCAAATTTAACTTAGCCCTCTGTTCTTGGTGCTGATGTCTAGATTCGCACTCTAGGTCAATCAAGCAATATCCCGTGAGCTCAGCATGTAACAATGCCAGTTAAAAGTATTATACCGACCCTTCGGCTACCTTCTTACAGAGAGGAAATCAATACGGCTGGCCAATTTTACCGATCGACTGATCATTGCTATTTTAAATTCAAGCTAAAAGCCTTTTTAGCTTTGAACTTTATTTAGCTAAAAGCTCGTCCGCCAGAAAATGGTGGAGAAGATTGGTGTCTGGTATTAGCTTTCCCTACGGCCTTACTGTAGCGCATTTTAAATTTAAGGGAGTCGGGGCGTTCCGTTGGTTCCCATTCTCACTTGTAATATACATAAATCATAACCACGCCCTACCCGTGCCCGGCTTTGTTCCCTCAAAACTTTACCCAATGCGTGGGCTCACGCGTTCAATATTGGCAGGCGAGAGCATATCCGGCTCGTGATGGCCCCTGCTGACACGAACAACCAACGAGATCGTCCAATCATCGATCGCCACCGGGCGACCTACGGCGCCGGCGAATCCCCGTAGGGCAAGCGTTTGCACTGTTTTGGTCTTTGACATCTAATACGAGAGCTTTTGTCTTTTCTCTACATTTAACTTCGGCATTATCCCGATCTACCATATAATTCCCTAGAAAATTCAGTGTGGTGTGTAACAACATATTGCCAGGGTCTGCACCAATACAACCGCTGCGTAGCGGCTCGCACATGTTCTGTGCGCACACATCATTTTTAGAAACCAGGCACATCGGACACGCAGACCGAGGGAACCCACCTTGTACCCTGCCGTTTGCTGTTGCTGGTGTCCGCCATGATGACCTGAAACCACACAGCCCGGTGAGGACACACAACAGCATCAAAGACTGGCGGGCGCGACCGGCAATCGCGCAGACCTACATGAGGTGCATGCTCTCCGACTTGGGGCGCCCTTGGGTTTGGGGCGTTAGAGGCGCTAGCGTTCACGGACCGGTCTCTTGGAGTGCGATAACTAGTAATGGCGCAATGTTATGTCGCCTGTACCCGCAGCACCAAGTTCGCAACAATTCTGTTCCACATCGACCACGAGTAGGGACGGTGCACCCCACTATTACGTACGGCATGAACGAACACAATTAAAGCTCGCTGCAATAAGCGTCAGTGCTCACGAGACATACGACCATCCATGGGCCAGGGGCGTTTGCAGGACTCAAAACTACAGGGGCGAATAAAAGCTGGTTGAAAATCCGCTATGCATCATGAGAAGGCACAAATAGCAAGAAGCAGGTGGTCAGAAGATGGACCGATCGCGTTCCCTACTACCTATACGCGCCTTACAAACGCCACTGACGTCGGCACGCGAGCGGCCGAACACATGCGGCAGAGTGGAGAAGATTGAGCACGTATGTATCACGCGCTGACGGCTCAGGGATTGATGGGAGCGACGACGCACACGGGAGAAAGGCGTCCTTCACAGACGCCGCCGCCCGCCCCGGCCAGCCGAGATCGGACCGCCACGGCCTCCCCACGCCACGCTGGACGTCATGAACGCCACGCGACATCGGAGGCCGTAACGCCTCCGCCCGGCGCGCCGGGCTCAGTTCACAGCGTACCTCCACAGGGCAGCAGCGTTGTGCGCCATCCGGAAAATCGATGCCGTGACTTGCCGGCGCCAATAGTAGTGCCATGGCAGCGGGGCCCGAGCCAATTACTGCTGAAGCCAGTGCGGCAAATCGCTACGGAAGCCTGTTGCAATCAGTTCGGAGGCAAGCAGTTTGGCGTTAATGCTTCCTGATATCACAGAAGACAGCAGACAAACCTCAGGAACAAAGGGTGGGCACTGAACCACGAGCGGGGACGCTCAAACCACTTGTAGTACGGCGTGAGCTGTATCTGTTCCACGCATCGCGATGTGCTGACGGATCGCATTTCAAACAGCTTAAACTTGCTTTTATTACTTCCTGGTTTTCACCGGCTTTAACAGGTTAAAGTGGGCAGATCTGGCGTAAACTGAGATATTAAAAATATCCCGGGGGCCAAGCAGACATAAGTATCCTGACATCTGCTGCCTACCTTTTGGTCAAACAACCAGCAATAGCCTACTGACATCACAACAGCATGACACAAATGTGCGTGCGTCTGTAATGCTTGCTCTCTCATCCAGCGCCGTGTGCCGTGGTAATAAGCGTGAAACGTGCCGTCAATGCTGTTCAACGTAGCACCATTTTTCTCGCGCCTGTTTGCGATGAAAGCTACAAGTCACGAAGTTTAAATACAGGTGGACAAAAATGGCAAAAAAATCCTCCCGGAGCATTCAGGCCTCATTGTACAATTCAGCCAGGTATCATGACAACTGAGGTTGGAAATATCGGATGGGTTCAAAAACATAGGGCAAAGCGCAAATCACGTTACGCATGGACGGAAAGGGTGTTTTTGATGAAGCGTTATGGAAGCGTAATAAGGGAGCAAGGGATTTTGGATAACAGAACCTTTTCGGTCAGGCGTGGTTGCACATGAGGCAAAAATATGTTTTTAATGACTTAACCATCCGAGCCATATCCCGTTGGCTTTCTCTCATGACAAGAAACACGCCCCTATTTGTTTCGCACCCCTGGGTCAATTAGGGGCCATATGGACGTCCCCTTTGGGCGGACGTTACGTCTACCTTATTTGTTGGGCCACTTTAGTCACTCCTTTTTGGGATGTTACACCGCATAAGCAGGGGAAGGGACATCGTCCCGCATTGCCTGTGCGCTAACAGGAACAGTTGCAAAATGGCAAAAAAATGTGCAACACTATTTCTAGACGGGTCCATATAGCGCGACAGCTGTAATTACTGTTTTGATCCCTCTCCAAAACGCTATATTACGAGAGAAGACAGCCCTCACAACAACTGCGTTCGTACAGCATGTCGCCACCTGAACCGCCCTGCACATCGTGGCACGCATGACCTACGTCACGTCGAAGGCAGTGTGCCACATCTGAAGGTATGGAAGCAAGCGCCAAATATGATGAAATAACCTCACCTGTAACTATTAATACGCTTTTAAAATGCAGACTGCTCACGACAACAAAATTTATATTTTTTAACGAGCGTGCTCCTCAAAGCATCATTGCTTCATTGCGTCATAGAACGTTTGTATGACTGCACTCACTTGTAGTTCTTTAATCTCCCGGGAGGTGGCCCGCTGTAGTGCTAAATGTATAAACCAAATATCGTATGGTGCTCGTGTTTTGGTCCTCTCTCGTAATGTCCTTGTAAATTTAACCGCCAGTTTAAATAATTCGATCCGAAGCCTCATTTCCACCATAATTAAAAAGGGCGTATAACTTCTTGCACTTCGTAGCGCAAAACGCAATTCGTGTCCGAATCCTGCCTAGATAGCAGAACATTGGTTGACAGCCAAATGACGGCCGTTATGTCTGGAAAGCATGCTCCCAAATGTCAGATATGAACGACTCGGCCATTATCCTTTAATTGACCTTGACTCCGCATGACCAGTGCAACGGCGGGACTTCAATGGCCTTGCTATCGCGTTAGGGATGCCTCGGTAGCCTTGAAGAAGTCTGTACGATAGAGTCTGCGCGAGATAGTGCGCACATTCGTGAGTGCACATCGTCAGAAGGCATGTAGCTCAGAAATCAGAGGGTTTCTGGTCTTAAGAACGGCAGGGCTGTGAACCGCACCGCATGACCTTTACGACGGCCGTTTCAGTTCAAAATCCCGTATATAGGTGTGGCACTGCCGTTAATTGTGGACATCAGTTGGGCTCTTTGTCTCACAGGCCTTTGGCTACAAAAGCATTAAAATACCGCCGTCTTCGCCTGTGTTACGTTATTCGCAATGCATGTCTTACCTTGGCTTTATGCCCTCCCCGCAATTTTCAACCCAAATTGTCTTTGGTTCAGCACACCTCCACTATGGCTAGTAAAAATCCGAGTCCGGTAAATGTGACATGATTTTCAGGCCCCGCGGTATCTGACGACGCGCATCGATCTGACACCATTCAGCAGGGGTGCACTTTCCTTTTCAGTTGCTGGGCTTCAGCCTCCCTCCCTTCCCTATCACGGGCAGCAGTCCCCCCCCCCCTCCTTTTTTAGAGAACAACAGGTCAAATCCAGGCAGAAACCAGCTTGTTGGCAAAGTTTGTGGGTAGGTTTCATCCTTGGCTCTCTCCAATTCACTTTGGCAAACTGTATTCCTGCCATTCAGCACCAATGCTCTGCATTTTCCTTTGCTGGTTGTGCTCCTAACTTGAGAGTAACAATGTTTATTTTGTTCATGCATTCACTGATCCACAAACACACCTCCAATTTTCAGAGTGGTGCCTTATTTAGGTGGCAATGGGATAAAGGCATGCTGGCAAAATTGGCAGGACAATACAAATATTTTTCTCAAATGTTAATAAGCAGAATGTACATGCCTGGACAACCACTGAACTGCATGATGCAGCAGCAGAATGACAAACTGCCTGATTCTGAACACTGTCCCATTGACCACTTATATCAATTGCAGGCTATCCATGTGACTGAAGCTCCAATGCTTACAACTTTGGTGTACAAAGAATTTGTGTCATCACACACAGCATTGTTTGCAATGTAAGGATGGGGATGTCCACCAGTATTGATGCACTTCAGGTGTGCAAGCAATGGTCAGCTATGCTGACATTAACTGTTGATGCAATTCTTTTTGCAGGAAAACTCAGCTGGCTAAATTTAATGATGGTATCACTGAAGAAACCTGGGTAGCACATGCAATATACCATAATCACACAGTCTCCATGCAGCCTTGCTGCCCAACCTATCTCAATATGTTAAAAATGTTATATGCTATAACCATGAAAACAAATGCATATTGATCTGCACAAACATGCTTTCCATTTCACTTCAACAAATCAGTGGTAATAGTCTAGTCCACAAAGGTAGATATATGAGACTGGCATGACATTGGATCTGTACATGAGCTAGGTTCAGCATTAAGTCCTTTCTTATGCTTCCCTTAATGGCAAGCAGAGAATTGTTATTACAAAAAGCCACTCATCACTTCAACAGGCACAAATTGAAAAAGCAGCATTATCATTGCAGGTTATAATTATTCCAAGATACATCCACAATTTATGCACCATGCAATGTACTTGGTTTCTACAGGCACCATGCTGAACCCAAAACCTCTCAACACAAGACACAAGAAACACATTGCAACACAAGAAAAATCCTTAAAAACAAATATGATAAATCAACTCAAGATGACCCATCAGCAAAATACATCTGCTTGTATTTTTCTTTCTTGTGCATTCACTTCCTCTCATAAAAAATTAAAAGGTAAGCACAGGTGCCAGGGGCGCAGGCCTGTAATATGTTCATGAAATGTCAATCAAGGACTGGGACCATAACTGCTTAAGGAAAATATCCCACAATATCTTTCAGCAAATCTAAATAATTTCACAATGTAGCCCCATGACGTTAATAGAGCAGGTTGTTATCACATAATTCAAAAGTTAAATATTGAAGAAAATGGAGAATTCTGTTGGAACTAATGAGTTATTTTTTAGAATAAAAAATATATCCCAGTTGCAGTAATTCCAAAAAATAGCAGTAGAATGGGCACTTTGGGATAAAGCATGCCAACAAAACCTTTACATGTATCAGCATATCAGTCACTATTACTACAGGTAAAATCAAAGCACAAGGGTGCCAATATGTCAGCTGTATCACTGTTTTAGTTGAGAAATCCCTTCATGCTCTTGCAAATTTTTTTGGGTCCTGGGAATTAATTATTTGAAAACGCATTTGTTTGATACGCCCGATCTCTTCACACACTGCAATTACCAACTTCCATGGCCATTGTCTGAAGTATGATGAAGACTTTTACAAAATGACATGTACACAAATTTCATGGTAAGGATGCATACTGCTACCACTCCATGACATATATCTTGCAGCTAGTCTGCAGCAAGTCCTTACAATGCACCATACCCAAGTGCAACATGAGTGCATTGCATCTGGTGCCTGTGTAGCAAACTGTGGGCAGTAAAATAGTGTTAAGTTTTAAGCAGCTTTGTGAAAAAATGCTTTGATGTTTCTTTTATCTGATATTACCCTCACATCACAGTTCCCTGACACATTGCCTCTCTATGCCCAGAAGCTATTACTGACCATGCCCAAAACTGCAGCTCTGGGATTTAAGGTGAACACATACTTTATCTTTTGTAGTAATGTCCCTACCATGCTAAATCTGTTCTGCATATCTTTCTTGCAGCTTGGCCTGCAGCAGGAAGTTAGCCCATTAAAGCAACCAAAACTGTTCAGTCAGGACTCACAGCACAAAACTACTTGCAATCAACACGGCATGCATGAAGCCATGCAGCCAAGGGGATAGCTCATCATAAAAATTGGGAAAAGGAGGCATTCTAAACGCAACAACTTACCAATGTTTGTTTCACAGCGACTATTTGTCATCCATCCCACAACGAAGACAGGCCAATTCAATAACTTGAGTTTACCAAATCAACAGCACGGCAGGGCCCATTCGGCACAGAATTCACTACAGCTTTGTACGTGCTTTCCAAGGAAACGCTAGTCACGGTAACTCCAACCGAAAAGAGCTCATCTACACGACACCCACCGCGGCACGGACCCGGACCCCACCCGACGTCCTCACTCCACACACTGCGAGCAAATTGCGAGCCACTGCGCATGATTTGTCTCTGTCGCCATCTTGTAAGATCAGCTGATTATCGGTAGTGTTCGATGTGCGCTGCCGAGTTTTGTCAGAACCAATGAAACAAACAGTTTTGTTTAAACACAAGTGATGACGCAACAGATACGTCGTCATGTTTGGGTCCTATGACGTCACATCCATGCTGTTGCGCCGTTGCAAGACAGCACCAGTGTTTCTTTAGAGTACCGTGGTAGCCGTCTGCGCGTGTGAGCCAGCGACCAAACCAGCATTTGGCTGTCGCTTGGCGGGTGAACCGGGCATAATACGAAAATACGATACATAATACGTCCGGGCCAAATACGAAAGCATTTTTATGCGGGGACGGCTCGTCAATCCGAGCAGTCACTTGAGGTGGAGGGCTAAAAGTTGACAGCGATATGTCAAAAAAGAAAAGTCGAGTGGCGAAAAGTCAAAATGCACAAAGTCGGCAGGAGGTACACGAGGCGCTACTGAGTGCGTATAATGACACACTCGCTATAATCGTACCTCTTGGTGTATTGAAGGTCGATAGCTCGGCGTAGAAGCTTTGAACTCATAAGGCCGAACGCAGGGCTGTAGTTTCCTATTCAAGTTGGGTACAGGCTGGAGCCCCCTTCCCAACTTTGAGAAGAAAGCGGGTAGTGTCCGGTGAGAAATTCATGTATTGGTATTTTGAAGGGAGGCTGCGTCATGATAATTCATAACGCACAGGCAGGTCCGATGTCGACACCATGGGCGAATCCAGAGGTGCACGTGGCCGGGGCCCGTCTTGGGCCCCGTAAGGCCAATAGGCTCCGAAGGGGCCGTTCGCCGGCTGAACAGGTACACAGTTTTCTAACACAAAGTGCGACAAGATTGGACACCTTCCGATTTCCAGGCGACCAGGAACAGATGCAAGCGAAAGTGAACGGCGCACAAGACAACAACAACAATTCTTCAATAATGGAACAAGTTGTTCGTTGCGAATTTTAAGGTTTATTACGCTATCCAGGTGCCCTATGCTGTTTCCAGGGATATATATGCTCACTTGCATGGTTATTCCGATCGTTAGGTAGCCTTCCACGTTGCACTTGATTTCTTTGCAGCTGCTTGGAGGGCCCTGCACTGTTGCTGGGCCCTTCCTGCTACAGTGCCGGGGCGCTCTTGTCAATCACGGGTCTCTCACGGATACTTTCTATTCGCCAGAAAGGCCCCGTGGGCTACGACCGGGGTATCCATATGTTTACCTGCCAGGGCATTCCCTGTTGCCCAGGCGCCCTTTACGTTGGTCTCGGTTAACTTACTGACACATTCGCGACATGCTCATCGGTTCTGTACATGGGTCTAGGGCGGTTCGAATTTTCTATCTCTTGTCGGGGTCCGTCTGTTAATCTGCTTGGGAACACCAGATTGTTTGGGGCTTCCCAAATTGGGTCTTGGGTACTGTCTATTTAAATGGAGGGCCTTACACACTTGACGCGGCCCATCTGTCAACCTACTTGGCCACACTGGATTGTGTTTGGGTCCTACACCTTTGTTATTTTAATGTAGGGCCCTACACTCTTGTCGGAGCCATCTAACAGCCTGCTCGGATAGTACACTCGATATTTCCGGGGCCTTCCACACTGAGTCTTGGCCACTTCTTATTCAAATCAGGGGTGGGGGGCATACGCTATTGTCGGGCCTATCCGATAACCCTTTCGGGCACATTCGATCGCTCGGGGCCCTCTACATTGGATCTTGGGCACGTCCTATTTCGATGGACCGCATTACGCTCTTGTTGGGGGCCCGTCTGTAAACCCAATCGGACACACTCGATCATTTGGGGCCCTCTTCACTGAGTCTTGGGTATTTCCTATTTGAGTGGAGGGTCCTTCGCTCTTGACGGGGGCCCCATCTGTTAACTTGCTCGGGCACGCTCGATCATTCCAAGGACCTCCATGCCGTATCTTGGGTAATTCTTATTTGAATGGATGGCCTTATATTCATGACGTGCCCCATCTATCAAGCTGCGCGAGCCAGTGGCGGACACGGAGGGGGGGAAGACCGGAACTACGCCCTTATGGACCATGCCGAGGGGACCTACAGGCTCCGAAGGGGCCCATAACCGGCAGAACGGACGCAGTTTTCTAACATAACAAAAGCACAGCAAAATTGGACTTTTTGGGCCAGCAGACGATCAGAAACGGTTGCTAGCAAAACAAGAAGTTCATAGGCAGACAAAATCAATTCTTCGTTGGTTGAAACTTTGTTGCTTAGGGAAAGTTTTAGTGCTCATTGCTCTGTCCAGAAGCATTGAGTTGTTTCCGGGCCCTATATGTCCACTTGCCGGGTCAATCTGATCGCTAATGAGCTTTCCACGTTAACCTAGATCTCTGCATTCTCTCGTAGGGTCCAACGCTGCCGTAAGACGCTATCTGCCTCCATGCGTGGGCACTCTTGATCGCTTAGGTTTTCCTCCACGGATTCTTCCCATTCGCCCGAAAGGCTCTATGCGCTTTTTCCGGGTCTCCATGTGCCAGGGTGCACTCAGTTGCTCAGAGGCCCTTCACATTAGCCTCGGGTTCTTTCCACTTGCTCGGAGGGCCCCGTGCTGTTGCTGGGGCTCATATAAGATAAAGCGCCAAGCCACTCGATGTTCATGCTCCCTCTGCTTTGATCTAGGGTTCTTACCCATTGATGCTATTTGTGAAGGACTCTTCAGTCCTCCTGGGGCTCCATCTGCTAAGCTGCCCGGGCACTCTTGATCGTACAGGGGCAATAATTAATGGTCTTGGGTAATTCCCCTTTGTTCAGAGAGTCCTGTGCTCTGGCCGGGGCCTTACATGCCAGTCTTCTGGGGCACTACCAATCGTTTAGGGGCCCACCACGTTGGTCTTGGGTTCTTTTCGCCTGCTCTGAGGACCCTATACCTGTTGACGGGAGCATCTTTGTTGGCCTCATCGCTTAAGTTCCGTCCCTATTGGCCTCGGTGCCTGAGCCTTAGAGCGGCAGTCGGATATGCGCCGATGATTTTTTACGCGCAATTCTCGAACATAATGCTACGTACAGTCTTGTCGCCTGTCGTGTCGCCGACGTCGTGCGCGTCATTTGGCTCGGCTATTGACTGTATGGCACTTATTATACTTGTGCACCACGTACTTCACATATTTGAACTGTAGGATGTACAAGCGATTGCGTGCTTGCTTTGCCGCGCGAAGCGAAAAATTTAGAAGTTTTAATTGCGTATGTTTTGCAGTTAAATCACGATTCTAGGTGACCTGGTTTCCGATATATGGCGCAAAACGTGAAAGACTCGGCCGCGGGAAGCGCGTGGTGCCGGGGCCCTCTGGCGGCGGCGGCAGAAGAGAGCGCATTTCGCCTGCGCCCATGCGAAAGGCTATCCCGCCATGGGTGCATTTAAATTATTTACGACGCTAAATTTACGAGGATAGTATGAAAAGAAATCCAATCGAACTGATCGATTAGTTGTCATGCTAACGATTCATTAGCTTATCACAGCATGTGATTGATTAACATCGTCATTTCTATTGCTATAGAGCAGGTCTTTTCTATGGGTGCAGGGAGCACCACAGACCGGAGGCACAATCAGCATTATAAAGGGCGCCGCTGAAAATGCGTCTGCTGCCGCCGCGCTAGATGGCACTGCACGTTGCGCGGCACACGATTTTATTGGGAATTAGTCATTGTCAACTCCCCCAGCTGTACCTGCATCACACTGCGCGCATGCTTCTTGCACGGGGCGCGTGGCGGCGAGTCGATTTATGAAATTTTCTTAACCTAAACACCTGCATTTTGGCGCTGCACGGCTGAGAAACAGTGGCTTTCCTAATTGGTGAACACCTGGCTTATTTCGCCTGGATCTCATCGCCCTACCTCCAGCTTCGCGCTATGCAGTTGAAAGACAATGGCATTGCTAATTGGTGAACGGTGGGGGTCATTCCACCGGCACCTTAATAGGCAAAGGCCTTGACCATGGCGGAACCTCGCGCGGGGTTTTTCTGACGTGCAATACCGCGTCGCATCTCCATATCACACTGCGCGCTACGATACGACATTGCGGGTGTGGCTCAGTTGGAAAGCAACGGCATTGGTAATCGGTGAATATCAGGCTTATTTCTCTCGCACCTTAACAAGTAAAGACCTTGGCCATCGCGGAACCTCACGCGCGCTTTTTCTGACGTGCCATACCGAATCACATTCTCAAACCACACTGTACACACTCGTCTTCCATGGAGCGCGCGGTGGCAACGTCATTTATGAAATCACTATCTCCACCTACTTGTGAAACAACGGCATTGTTAATTGGTGAATGTCAGGCTTATTCCGCCCACATCTTTCTTCCAGCCGACGCCGATACGCGGCCTGACGCCTCAGGTGTGTGGTTTTCGCCGAGTAAGGCATCACAAATCAGCACCGGCCGCACAGCGACCACCTGCCAGTACCGGAAGGACGCCATCCGAGTTGCGGGGATCCGTTTGCGCCGCATTTAGCAACGGAAGCAGAAGGTGAGCATGAAGACACGGCGACTTTGCGTAATAAGACACCACGACTCCACTCAGGAACATTAATTTCAACACGGGCTGCAGCGAACACTTAAGACCGGAAAGATTTATATTTTCAATACGACTGTTCAAGTTGACTGTTCTTTTGATTATTTCATTGTTTTTCACTACTATTTTACTGCTTTGCGTTCCCGCAATGAATGGCACAGAATTAAATGAAGATCCAAAACTGCTACTTTCATCACCAAAATACCCGCCCTGATCACGAAATGAATCAGCAGCCCAAAATGGCTCAGGTATATATTTCATGTGCACCTCAGACAGAAACAATGAAGTGAATTATCCGTCACAGGGGGATAAGTTAAGTCAGTATTGACTCAGTTACAATGGTCGTAGGGGCATTCCATGCAAACTCAGCCAATCAATGTCACCCGACCAGATTGGATTCCGATGAAATTTTTCCGTGGCGTTTCC